TTGTGTTTAAGGGAAATAAGTGTGGGAAGTATTACCTGATGTGTTTAAGGTATTGAGAGACAGGCTATACATCTTTCAAAGAGTTTGAGGGTCGAATTCATGATAGGTATGTAGACAACCCAGTAAAGGAAAAGGTCAGGCAGTTATCCACTTCCGGGAAAGCAAAGAACTATAAAAGAAAGAATTGATAAAAGCCTGCCCAGTAAAGACTAGTAGGAACATAACTGTATGTTGGACAGAATTAGGTTTACTGACTTGTCACTGCAAGAGACAACACACACCGGAGGAACTGTGCAGAGAAGGGCTCATCGAAGGCAAAAACAGGATATGAGAAAGGTGGAGTTTAGGTAATATTTAAGTAAAGCAGTGTTCTGATCAGTTCGAGGGAAGCGCAGATATCAGTGAGGGAACCAACAGCAAGCCTGGGATGAGAGTGGACTGAAGGTCCACTTGGAAACCACAAAATTAGAATAATTTTAGACAATTATGTAATAGATAACTACATAGTTAAGGTAAAGCGAGACCGTCACGCCATCATCTGAAGCTTTGCATCTAGGTGGGAAAGCATGGCTGCTCTTTTATGTCAAAGTAATCCACGTGGCTCAGACCTCCAGGCAGGAGTGGGGCATTCTGTTCTCACTAACTGATTTTAAATACCGAAGTTTGTGACTAAGATTTTACAGAAGGAAGTTTCTCAGCCCTTTGTGTTAATTAACAAAAGCAGTCCTTAAAGATTTACAGTCTTAGTATAAACACCACAGAACTCCTGTGAAGAATATTTCCAAGCCATAATAACGTAAACACAGAGTACCGATTTAATTAAAAATTGGAATGTATTTGAATTGAGAGGGTGGGGCGCCTATAAGTAGTCAGGATTAGAGAGAACCATATCTTCATCTTCCAAGGCAGGCAAGAGGCTGATTATATCAAAAATAAAATAAAAAAAAAAAAGAAGAAGAAGAAGAATATAAGCGTGTTATTTAGAAATATAATGGCAAGCACCAAAAGCAGCAGCCCCACAGCTTGAGAGCACTTTCTGGATGAGTGTGTGTAAGGATGACAAAAATAGTAGACGCCTTGTAGAACTAGTCGGCTTTTTACACTATGGAAATTCCTTTGTTCAAGTAAGAATTAAGACAAAATAAAACCATTTTTAAAACTCTATGAACATCAAAGCCCCACCCCCACTCCCTTCCCCATTTCCTCCCAAATCTTCCTGGTTACTCACTCAAGACCTCACTGGGCACTGTGACTTTCAACACAGGTCAGGGGTTGTGCGTCAGCTTTGCAAATGTAGAAATTCCATCTTATTCACCCATAGCAGACCTGGCTCTGAACCATTGCCGCTCCCCAGAAAATATGTGCGTGTGTGTGTGGGGGGAGATAATGAGAAGGGGCTGCAACATATAAAAGCAGATAAGAAAGTACAACATAGTAATAATCAGAAGGATAAACATTCATTGAAGGACGACTATGCGTCATGCCCTGTCCGACACTGTTAGGTTTAATGTTCATCACACGCTGCAGTAGGTACTTTTATCTCTCCATGTCTGAGTGAGGAAACCCGAGCAGAGACATGGTTAAAAAAAAGTAACTTGCCCAAGGTCACACAGACAGTAAGTAGCAGAGCTGTTCCATCAGCTCAAAGCTATGTGCTTAGTAATATCACCCTCCTGGGTTACTGGTCCAGGAATGGGCAGATAGGGATCATCATGGCAGCTGATATTCATCAATTGATTGCTCTGTAATGAGTAGCTTCTGTGCATTACCGCATTCCATCTTCAGTCATCATATGAAGTACATACTATTATCTCCACTTCGCAAATGAGGAAACTGAGGCACACCCCAGATAATCTGACTTCGGAGCCTGCAAATTTTGCCACTGCAATATAGTATTTCCCTCCAGAGATCAATGGGACATAATAAAAAGTGGAGAAATAGATCAAACATATACCAATTTAGCATATGATGGACACATCATCTCAAGTAAGGAAAGATGAATTACTCGAAAACCATTTGCAAATAGTTTACCATTTGAAAAAGTAAATTCAGTTAGATTTCAACCTCACGCCTTCTCCAAGAATTAATTCCTGGTGCGTTTGCGGTAAAATTCAATGTGAAAAGTGACACCCTAACTATGGCACAAGAAAACTGGGGTATCTATTTCCCTGATGCCACGCTGGGGCATCGTGCCCTCCACTCAGCCTTCCTGGGCCCTGACCGTGTCCCGCGGGCTCGGTCACCGTCTTCCTTCACCGTCTTCCTTCTCCGAGCTCCCACGGCTTCTCTCTCATAGATGGCACTTGCTATGTCAAGCTATAGGGTTTTGGTTTCCCTGCTTGGTTCTTCCCAGGACCGAGCAGAGTGTGGGGAACCCAGCAGGCCTTCTCTAAGTGTAAGATGACAGACAGAGGGAAGGAGAAGTTAGTATTTGATGGTCTCCAGAGAAAATGACCCAGCATTCCCGGTTCCGGGAGAGATAACTACTCCAGAGGCTTTCTTCTGCCAGACGCGAGGTCTTTGGCCTTGGCCGAAAGTACCGGACGAAAGTCAGCAGATTCTGATGGTCCCAACTCCCTGTTCCCCAGTCTTTCACAGGTCTTCACTCCTCTGCTGTCACAGGAGGACACGGAACACGTGATTAGAGCAGGGTATGAATGGCGCACAGGTTAGAGGTTAAAAATTGGGGCTTTTAGAGCCCAGTTGTCCAGAGATTGGGTCCTGGCTCTTTCCTTTACTTAGCTATGTGACTTTGGGCAAGTAACGTAACCTCTCTGAGCCTTTTTTTCTCAGCCGCACAGTGGGACCAATGATTAATCCTCCCTCATAGGGTTGATCTCAAAATTAAAGGACATAATGTAGGTAGGGTACTGAAAACAACGTGTGGCATTTGGGAAGCACGCAGTGAATGTTAGTCGCTCTCGTTATGAATAGCTGTTATTAGTGACATCTCGGGGCTGAAGACGCACCTTAGCCCCCGCGGAGTTAGCCCAGCCTCTTCCCATCGTTCTCAGACCACCATCTGAGGTAAGTTACTTCTGCAGATGGCTAAGCTCATGTTTGTTGGGGTTTTCTGTTTTTGCAAGCTTTGGTTTCAGAGGGCGAGAAATTCCAAATCTGGGAGCAAAATTACATACGGCACAGAGGAAGGAATTGACTGGGGGGCGGGGGGTGCTTCGCAGGGGCCTGACGCCAGGTTAATACTGGAAAGGTGAGTAAGAGTCATTCTGGTGGGGGGAGGGCATGCCAGGCGAAGGGAAAACCTGCACCAAAGGACAGACGCATGAGAGTCGACGGTGAGTCATCCTCAGAGACAGTCTCTGGGACAAAGACAGCTTCCTGCGGCAGGAGATGAGGCTGGAAAACCAGGCCAGGCTATGAAGGACCCCATAAAAGTATCTGTGTTGGGGGGTTGGGCCCTCAGGTCAGCAGCTTCACCTCTGAGAGGAGTGGGCGACCCCCACGTGTGCCTGTGCGGATCCCACGAGGCAGTAAAGCTTTCCATGTACCCACAGGTGCCGGGGTGATCGCTAGTCCCTGGAGAAGGTTCCAGGTGGTCAGGCCGTGTTGACTCCATCCCTGTTCTCAGGGCGCCCACAGTTCCATCAGGGTGACAAAGACAGACACACACGTAATCAACAAAAACACATACTTACAAAATTACAGCCAGGCTCCTGGAGGAAATGGTGGATCTGAGATCCTGCGGCCGATCGGAGCGGGGGCTGGGAGGGTCAGAGTTTCCTAGGGAAGGTGAGCCAGAGGGAACGTGATGGGGCAGGAAGATAGCCCGGGCAGGAAGAACTAGAGCAGGCCTGGTGACTGCGAGGAGCACTTGGCCGATTCGGGGATTCTGCGATTTGAGGCGGGGCGGAAGCTGAGCCCGAAGTGTGACGGAGCTGCGTTGCCAGTGGGGTCTTGGTTCTCCTTTTAACAAATATGTAAGGAGCACCTATGAGACCTCGAGCGACGTTCTGGTGAGCAAAGCAGACGAAGTCCCTGGTGGGAGACAGAAGGAAACATTCGAGTTACTATTTAGTGGGTAAAGTAGTGAGGGGTACTGCGACGCAGCTGGGGAAGGGGCTCACGGGGCAGAGTGCGCTGTCCCCTTCTCTCTGAGAAGGCGGCGTCTGCAAGAACACCTGAATGAAGCAAGGGAGGGAGAAGTGCAGGTGTCCACCAAACGCGTGTCCCCGGCCGTGGGGACAGCCAGCCGAAGGCCCTGAGGGGGAAGCTGGCCTGGCACAGGTGGCACATGCCGGCGGGGCTGGGATGGGGTGAGCGTGGGACGGGCACAAGGAGCTGAGTGGTCAGCGAGGAGGTGGGGCCCAGGTGGCCTGTCGTGACCACGTGGGTAAGCAGCGTGGCGGGCACCGACAGATCTGAATTCCAGCTCCGTTTGCCATTTGCCTAGTGGGTCATCTTAACCTCGTTTTGTTTCGCTGACATGGGTGTATTAGTCGGGGGGACACAGGTTTATTTGTTTGTTTTAAGGAATTGGCTCGTGTGGTTACAGAGGCCGGCACGTCCGGAGTCCGCAGGTCTCACTGTGAAACCTTGCTTTCCTCCAGCACAGAGCTGGCCGGGGGCTCCAGCAGGCTGGAGGCGCAGGGAAGGGCCGACGTTAGCTCACGCCCGAAGTCCGGTCGCTGCAGCTTCCCCTCTTGCTGGGGAGGTCAGCCTGTCACTCAGCGTAGGCCCTCGGTGGGCTGGACGAGGCCCCGTCGTGGAGGGCAGTCTGCTTTACTCCCATTTTCAATGCAGAGCCCTCGCAAAAAACACCCTCGCAGACACATCCAGAGTAATGTTGGACCAACTTCTGGGCACCGTGGCCCAGCCAAGTCGACACGTAAAGTTAAGCAGCACGTGGCCGCCACACAAGGCTGACGTGAGGGTTGAACTTGAGAATGTCTGTAGAACACAAAGCGCATTGACTGGCGACGGCCAGAGCTCAATTAAATGAAAAACACCATTTGCCAGATGCCAAATGGGGCAGGCACTCTGCTAGCGAGGCTGGTCCCGTCTGGCTGCCGAAGTGCCATAGACGTGCCATAGACGTGCCATAGGCGTTATCACCACGTTTTACAGCTGAGGGACGCGAAGTGCTTCCCCTGGGAAGCCGGCGCCCAACTGGAGCGGGGTCTGTCTGGCTTCAAGGCCCGGGTTTTCCCACTGGGGACCGTCCAGATCCTGACACTGAGTCAGAAGGCACCGGTCACAGAGGCCGGAGTGGGGGCTGGAAGCTGAGCGGGGATGGCAGGGGTGTCCCCCTGTGTTAGACCAAGTAACTCACACATCGCAGTCCCAGAAATTCCCCCAAGCGGCCCTCATGGCAGCTCCTGGCCCAGAAGGGATGTGTGGAGGGTTCTTCCTGTGGCCCTGTCTGTGCAGTACCTGTGGGGGCACAGCCCTCAGCCCTCAGCCCTCAGCCGGGCTTCCCGGCTCCTCCGGCTTATTCAGGGTGAGGGCTGTCCTCAGAGAAGGGTCCCTCACGGGCCCCCAAGGCCACCTGGCTCAGGCCTTGTCACGCAGGCCTCACATTTAGGCTACGGACCGGCACACGGTCACTCTGCAAGAGCAGACAGGGCTCCCGGGGCCAGGCGCCTAAGTTTCACTGAAGAATTTCCAAATACGCACAGAACTAGACTGAATCATACAATGAACCTAATGTGCCCGTTATCACGGGACTTTGTGTACTAAGGCCTACGGTCCCCTGTGACGAGCACAAAGACGTATCATGATTTCCTGTTAAAAAGCGTTCGTTTGAGAAATGTAAACATTTCAAACACGCCTCAGTTTTTCTTCATTTAAAAGTGTATTTGGAGCCTCAGTACTGGAAGGGACTGGACCTTTCCCCAGCTTTTGGAGGCCTATCTCAGAGAGCAAATGCCGAGAACTGCGGGCCCCAGGCAGAGAGGGAAGGACGGATGCCCCCTCTGCACCTGAGCCTGGTCACAGAGGCTGGGGGGACATAGCGGAGCCTACACCGCAGACGGCAGGCCCACGGCAATGCCCTTTGCCCTCCACCCCAGGCAGTGTGGGTGCCCGACACCAGGGCCAGCTAGGGAGCTCCCTCTGCCTGGACAGGAACACAGCCACAGGTGTCGACAGCTCAGCCTCTGTGTGGCCAGCTCGCTCTGGGGGGGTGGGAGTGAGACTTGGGAGCAAGACCTTGGCCCTGCCCCCTGAGGAGCTGAAGCTGGGAGGGAGACAAATAAATGTATCCAAAGCCCAGCAATTAAGTGCCACCAACTGTGCCTGCACAAGGGTTCCAGCCATTGTTTGCCCAGGAGGCGGCTCTGTGGGTGACCCTAAGTCAGGGAGGAGTGGCCCGGGGGCGGCCGCCGGAGGTCCCCAGGGCAGGGCCTCCAGCCTGCTATTCTTTCGCAGTTCCCACAGCGCCCCGGGCCGGCGGGCGCACAATGGCTTCAATGCGTGCTTTTGACGGACCCCTTCCCCTTTGTCTCTGTCTCTGCGTCTCTTGGCATCTCTGTCTCTGCGCGTCTCTGGCTCACTCTTGTTTCTCAACATCCTTCCCGAGCCCCCGGGGAGCAGAGCTGGGGGGGCCGGGCAGTGGGAACGGGACCGCGTCCTGTTCTCACCAAGGACAATAAGGGCCGGAAAGGGCTGGAGCCAAGGCCTGGCGGCCTCCGCGCCCCGGGCGCTCCCGCCCCGCCCCTCTGGCGTGCCCGACATGCCAGCGCCGTTCGTAGGAGTGCGGCTTCTGCGGGTCAGGGACCCTTCCTGCTCGGTCTCACCTTCCCGCTGCCCCAGGGAGCACCCTGCCCGCCGGCCTCCACCTGCACCCCTCCCCCGCATCACTTACTCCAGCTTCCGGAGCAGGCGGCGGGCGCTGCGGGTGTCGGGGCCACGTGTGAGGGAGCAGGAGGAAACATCTGGCTTCCCTCATCCCGCGGGGATGGGACTGCCCCCTCTGTCCCAGGCCTCAGCCTCCAAGGTGGCACAGCCCCAGGAGTCCCAGGGCCAAGAGGCTGGCACCTCTGCCCTGCTCACCTTCAGGTCCCCAGGAGCCCCGGTGGCCTCCCGCCCCCTTACCTGATGGTGGCTGAGCAACCCCTGCCAGGGTTAATTGATAGGTCAGGTGCAGGCAGCCTGCAAACGAGGGCCCCGGAGAAGGGCTGGGTGGAGGGCCCAGGTTGGTGCCAACCTGCCTAGTAAATGTACCCATTCCCTGAGGAACGGGTCATTATTCCTGGGCCAACTGCTGTCCCTGGTGCCCACACCGTGGGTGGCAGCAGGTGCCCAGATCCCTCGGCCTGGCCCTGGCACCTGCTCTCCAGCTCCTCCCCACCCTGCCCTGCCCTGACCTGGCCCACCCCGGTGCTCGTCTTGGGAGGCCCGTGCCCCAGCTGTGTCTGTGCTCCCCTGGCCTGGGACCTGGCCCTCTGCCCACTGCTCCCACCCCAGGTCAGGACACAGCCAAGGTCTGATGCAGACCCAGAACCAGCCCAGCGTCCTTGTAGGTCCAGGGCCCATTTCGGACAACAGCGCCTTCTTCCGGAGGCTCCCACGTCCGCCGCCGCCCCAACCATCATTAAAGAAGCTGGAGCCTATAGCGCAGCCACCTCCCCTGGGAAGCTCTGGTCTCGGCTGAACTCTGCCTCCGCTCCCAGCCTAGGGGAGCTGGAGACCCAACTCAGGCTTCAGCCCTCCCAAGGGAGCTCGTCTTCTGGGTCCCAGAAGGTTGGCTTCCACTGGAGACCCCGCAGCAACCCTCGCAGCCCTCAGGGTGGGTCCGCAGGGAGAGAGTTGCAAGTCTCCTGGAGACGTGGACTCACGGCGCCCTCTACAGGCGCCCTGGGTGAACTGCACGGCACGCCCTCCTCCGCCCAGGGTCAAAGGGTCTGGGATTCCTGCCACCAATGGGAACAGGTGGGCCGGGGTGAGCCTCTCATTAGAAGAGGATGGGGGTCTCCAATCCTTAACCAGAACCCCTCTGACTCACTCATCTTCACGGGGCCTTCTTCCCTAACTTAGGCGCACCGCATGGACAGAACTCTCCGTTCTAGGGCAGTCTTGCTGTACACTATCCGGCACTGTGGAGGACCTGAATCTGACCGAGGCACTGCGCGCACCCCAAAGCCCACAGCACCAGCAGGAGGAGGGTGCCAAGGTGCCCCTCGCAGCAGGGCACCGACAGAGTGGGACCACACGCTCGCCTCCAGCAGGGCGGGCAGCCCGGACGCAGCCCTGTCCCTGTTTTATGCACTTTGCTAAGATGCAGGAAGTTCCTAATCTCCTGGCTACTAGACAACAGAAAAACAAAGGCACCAGAACGAAGGGGAAGGGGCAGGGGTCAACGCTGGACATCTCTCCACACTGGGGCGGAAGAGATGGGTCTCGGAGGCAACACCAGTGGGGAGCCCCCACGGACTGGGGGCAGAAGGGGCAGGGGGCTCGTTTGCTCTGGGTATGGAGCTGGGAGTGACAAAGCCCCCCCCACCACGTGTCAGTGGAACCCCGTGGGAGTGCGGGGGAGGGGCTTTTCCCTTCCTTCCTCTCTTGTCTCAAGATGCGGTCCAGTCCCAATGGGCAGGCCTTCTGCACTGTAGCCTTTACCCCTTTCCCAAAGGGCAAGACTGCAGGTCATTGGAGCACTTTTCTTCCGTGATGTGACGCAAGCAAATGCCACTCCAGTACCTGCCACTGACCACACTCCATAAATATTCGGTAAAAATGAACCTTGGAGGAAGAAAAGCCCCACCTTCCCCAAGGCCGTTAAACAGCAGGTGCCTCTGCCCCAGCGCTCTGCATGCCCACCACACAGGCACCGGCTAACGAGGTCCACGGCTTATCACAGCTCACACAGCTACGAAGAATCAACTTTATTGGACATCCAGGGTCAGTTTCTCTTTTTGCCCTTGCCCGTGACCTTGGCTGGGGTGAGGACTGGAGCTGTTGCCTGGTACAGCGTGGAGGAGATCTTGTTGATGTAGTACAGACCGACCATGGAGAAGATGAAGCTGCAGGGCGAAGAAAGGTCCGAACTCAGTGGGCACGCTGCCAGCCTGCAGCCTCCTCGGGCCGGCACCAGCACCAGCACCAGGCAAAGAATCAGGCTCACACTTAGGAAATGGGGAAGAGGAAAGAAGGGAGAACAGACAGGGCAGGAGTACGGGGAAGGCTGGAACCATCACAGGAGGCTTCAGGGCCAAAGGACAGGGTGCTGCACCCCTTACCCAGCTGACGGGCACTTACCAGGTGGTGACGCAGACTCGATGGATGAGGCCAGATGCAAAAAGAGCCAACAAGAGGCAGAGAAGAACTGGGGAGGCAAGAGGGGGCAGGAGGGTGGAGGTGAGCCTGGGATCGCATGTGCAGTCAGGGCGAAATGCGCATCTTAGGGAACCCGCTTGAAGGGAACGGCTGACAACGGCAGGAGGACCTCCGGTGGCCTTGATGATGCCCGGGACACGGAGGCAGGAGATGCAGGCTCATCACCAGCTCTGCCTCAGACATCACTCCGCTTCCCCATCCTGGCTCTCCTCCGGCGGAAGCGAAAGGTGACAGCAGAGTCAGAAGGGCCAGGCTTGCTCCCGTTTGGGGAAGGGGGTCAAGGCCTTTCCAACTGAAGCCAGCTTGTAGGGATCAATTCATAAAACTGACTGGCCAGTGGCGAAAATGAGGGGGCCTCACTCCCTGGAGACATGGTGGGGGGCAGAGGGCCTGGCTACACAGGACCCCGGGGGCAGGAAAGGGTCTGGAGGACCTCCGGTGGCCTTGATGATGCCCGGGACACGGAGGCAGGAGATGCAGGCTCATCACCAGCTCTGCCTCAGACATCACTCCGCTTCCCCATCCTGGCTCTCCTCCGGCGGAAGCGAAAGGTGACAGCAGAGTCAGAAGGGCCAGGCTTGCTCCCGTTTGGGGAAGAGGGTCAAGGCCTTTCCAACTGAAGCCAGCTTGTAGGGATCAATTCATAAAACTGACTGGCCAGTGGCGAAAATGAGGGCCTCACTCCCTGGAGACAAGTTGGAGGGCAGAGGGCCTGGCTACACAGACCCCCGGGGGCAGGAAAGGGTCTCTGACTACCTAGAGTAGGGCCGGAGAGAAGGTAAGAGGCCAGACAGCAAGGGCAAACCCCACCTGCCTGGCTGGGAAGGGCATGGTGGGCAGAGGGCCAGGAACCCTACCCCACACCACAGGTTTCTCTCAGAAGCAAATAAAGACAATTCGCATAGAAACCAAATCTAAGAGAGGAGTCCTGGGGGCGCCGCCGGATGGAAGGAGCTCTGGGGCCCGCAACAGGGCTCGGTGGGGAGAGCAAGACCTGGCGGAGGGCGACGGCCACAGACCTTTGTGCTACTGGCCGAAGGCTCTGCAGGCGACGGCGACTGCTGTCAACGTTTGAGCTTGCGGCATTTCTTAGGTGATCCGGCTCTGACCCTAATTTGCCTTAAAACTTAATTCTCCATAAATACCTAAGCCATCAATTCTCAATATCATGAGCAATCGCGAGGATCATTTCAAACAGAAAACAATCCAAGTTATTCTAATTTGGCCAGGATGCCTGCTGACACAGAAACGGGGTGCATCTGATACTTAGGCTCTTCACAATCGTCTCAAATAGAATTCATTAATACTAGGTCAATTTCACAGCAGAACCGCTCAATGAACTCTGTCCTTCCTGCTGCTTCTTCTGGTGAAACAAAGCACACATCCCCACGGATGGATGCAAAACTTGCCTGCTCCCCTCGAACCTCCTCCGGGAACTAGCCAGAAGGCAATTGAGTTTTTTGCTTTTAGAAGTCTTTTCTTCCAGCCCGATTCCAGGTGCTAAAGAAAGCGCTGGATCCAAAAGCCTCACACGTCTCCAGACAGTCTTGTTAACACATTTCCTTCTCCAAAACAACCTTTACCTTCCAAGTACCTGGAAACTCAGGACCGTGTTGGGGGAGGTTGGAGGAGGAGAGAGTTCAAATACTCAACCCGTAATTCTCACTTACTCTCTGGGAAGATCTTCGCTTGGAACCCTTTGCCAAAGACAAGATTCTCCAGATTATTGAAGGCCTGGGTGGAGGGAATTAAGGAGCAGTGCGTGCAAGGAAGGCAGAGCTGTGTGGGTCACGGGAGGGCCACAAGCCCACAAGGCCCTCCGCCTTTCCTACCCTCAAACACCTCGCCCCCTTCCACGCACAGAGGATACTGTGAGCGAGAAGACGAAAAGGCCGGAGCCAAGCAGGCCTCCCTGGATGGTGAGCCACTCGGTGGAGGCCAACTGGCGGCTGTACATCTGCATCCCAGCGAAGAGCAGCAGGGACAGGAGGGAGGACAGCGCCAGCGAGGTCCCCGTACCCACCACTGGAGGGGATGAGAAAAGAGGTGGAGTCAGGCGCGGTCCTCCCTCCAGGAGCCGCCGGCAGATTCATCAGGTCCCGGAGCTCGAGGGCCCGACCGAGTCCCAGCACTCGTGGGCCTGCAGCCTCTCCGCAACTGCCCACGGCGACCCCCAGGAATTCCTCAGCCCGGGGCGCCAGGCACCCTGAGGTCCCGTGCAAATGCCCGCCCCCTGAAACCCAGGACACGTCAGCTCTGCGGGGAGAGGACCAGGAAAGCTGGTCCGCTCCAACCCCAACCCCCACTAGTCCGTCCGCGGGATCCCGCTGGTCCCGTTACCCATCACGCCCGCTCCTGGGTCCAATAGGCGCCTCTGGCCAAGAAAGACTGGAGCCGAACCGGGTGCGGTCGCCTGTGCGCATGCGTCAGTCCGAACGCGCACTTGCTTCCCCCACGACTTCCGGTCTCCCCCTCGGCGCCTTACGTCGCGCCCTCTGCCGGCAGGGAGGAAATGTTGCGTCCAAGCGCATCCTTGGCCTCCGCCCTACTCCTCCGCCCTTACCGCGCCCCGAGCATCTGCTGCCTCTCAGTGCAAGCTGCACTTAACTCTTCAAGTCACTGGGACCGCGGCCCGTAGCCTCCAGCCCCCCTCTGTCTTCTTCGCCATTTATGTGGTCTCTAGTGCCTGTCCCCCGAACCTCCCTCCCCCATGAGCATTGCCTCGACATCTCCCGTAGACTCCTGGCCAAACCAAAATCCAGTCCTGCCATCCTGGAGCCCGCCTCCCTCGAAAACTATCCTCCCGCTTTACATGAGCAAGATTAGGAGCCAATAAAGAATGCGAACATAGGAAACGGTTCTCTCCTCAAATACCGTTCCGTGTCACCCAACCCCCCGCCCGCCTTCTGAGAACCACGTGGGGAAAACGATTTCCCACCTCCTACCCCGACAGGCGCTGTTCGAGGCTTGTCCCTGGAGCATGCGCAGTGATATTTCACCCCACCCCTCCCCACACCCCCCACCGCGCTCCTGCATTAAGCCCGCGGTTCGCAGCCGCAGCCGGGATCGGGCACGTGGGGGCGGGCGGGCATGGTAGGGCCATGGCCGAGGGTGAGGATATGCAGACCTTCACTTCCATCATGGATGCACTGGTCCGCATCAGTGTGAGTTAAGGTGGGGTCGAGGGGAAGGGGAGAGGGAGCATAGGGGTCCGGGGCAGGCCGGGACCTTGAACAGGTGGGGATCCGGCGAGATGCTGGGATGCAGACCGGGGGCTGGCGATGGCAGAAAGGGCTGGGAGGGTCGGGGTGCAGGCGCGAGAGGGTAATCCGGGCGGCAGTCCGGAGGTGGGAGCCGCGAAGGCGTCTCCGTGCTGGGGTGTGAGGAACGAAGCGCTACCGGAGGCAGCGGGTGGGTGGGGGAGCGGCCATCAGTGCACCCCGCGGCTGGGGCTGCAGGGCAAAGGGGCTGCGTTGTGGAGGAGGGGGCGTGCGCTTGGAATTTTTCCAAAAAACTGAGGACAGGTGGAGGGCGAGGAGGGAGCCGCCCCAGTGTATAGTTCCCAATTTGGACAGCTCCGCGAGACCCCACCCCACCGCACCCCCTCTCCCGGCTGCCTCCGAGCCTCCTGCGGTTGTCATGGCAACCCGTGCCCGGCTCTCCCAGAGGCGGTGCCAACCCCGCTCCCCCCATCACTTCCTCCCCCCTCCCTCCGTGTCCCTCCCTCCTTTGTGTCAGCTGCGCCCCTGACCGGGATGGCTGCGAAGAGAGGGACCAAGGTGAGGTGAGGGGGTGGGGCATATCTTGAGGACCCCCGCCACCAAGAAAGGGAGGGGTACTTCCGGTGGGGAGGGGGCGAGTAGGCGGGGCGCTCGTTTCTTTCCAGGTTGGGGAGGGGTTTACCGCTAGCCAGGTTGCGCCGGGGGAGGGAGCGCGAGGTCCGGGCGGCGGCGGGCGAAGGAGAATGGGGTAATATCAGGGGACCGGCGGAGACGTCTGGGGAACTGAAGGATGGAGGATGGAGGTTGGGGCGGCCGGAGGCCGGAGCCGCGGCAAGAAGACGGCCCGGGTGAGCCGGAGGATGGACAGGGAGCGGCGCCTGCCTAGGAGGAGTCGTCACGGTGGGGGGGGGGAGGGGGTGCGGGTGTGCCAGAGAAGGGGGCGCGGGTCCGCACGGAGCTGCAGAATGGGCGGTGTCCTTGAGAGAAGTGCCAGGGGCTGTCGCAATGATGGGGGAGGGGGGCAATGGCCAGGTGAGAGGGGCTGCAGGTCCCGAGGGAGGCACGAACTCCAGCCGTGAGCTCCGAGCACCCGTGCTTCTCCGTCGGCCTTTAGCTCTGCAGGAGGGGAACAGGGCTAGAGGCAGAGCTGCGAAGGGCTGCGAACCAGGCCCAGCTGGTGCTGGGGAAAAGCCCCAGGTAGCTCGTCCTGCCCCTGTCTGAGGCCCCTGTCTGAGACCCCCGGTCTCTAAGACAGCGGAGGGGCCTGTCAAGATATGCCCCCGGGTCCAAGCTCTGACCCAACCTCCTGGTCCCTCCACAGACGAGCATGAAGAACATGGAGAAGGAACTGCTGTGCCCAGTGTGCCAAGAGATGTACAAGCAGCCGCTGGTGCTGCCTTGTACCCACAACGTGTGCCAGGCCTGTGCGCGCGAGGTGCTGGGCCAGCAGGGCTATGTGGGCCATGGCGGGGACCCCAGCTCCGAGCCCACCTCTCCTGCCTCCACCCCTTCCACCCGCAGTCCCCGCCTCTCCCGCAGAACTCTCCCCAAGCCAGACCGCCTGGACCGGCTGCTTAAGTCAGGTGGGGCTGGGGCTTGGGGGTGGGGTTGGGGGTGGGGATGCCAGACTGTCCATCAGGAAGGTGGAAGGGGTCCTCCCTGGTCCTGGGCATCTGCCTGTCTTTCGGGGGGTGGAGATGCTGCTCATCCAGCTCTCGTAACCGATCTCAGCTGTGCCATCGTGCAGATTAACTGTTAAACTGAACAGACCCCTACCACAGCCCCCTGTAATTTTCATCTCCCGACCTCCCCGGCCCATCCACAGGCTTTGGGACATACCCCGGGCGGAAGCGAGGTGCTTTGCAGCCCCAGGTGATCTCGTTCCCGTGCCCAGCCTGCCAGGGTGATGTGGAGCTGGGGGAGCGGGGCCTGGCAGGGCTGTTCCGGAACTTGACCCTGGAGCGTGTGGTGGAGCGGTACCGCCAGAGTGTGAGTGTGGGTGGCGCCATCCTGTGCCAGCTGTGCAAGCCCCCGCCACTAGAGGCCACCAAAGGCTGCACCGAGTGCCGAGCCACCTTCTGCAATGAATGCTTCAAGCTCTTCCACCCCTGGGGCACCCAGAAGGCCCAGCATGAGCCCACCCTGCCCACCCTCTCCTTCCGCCCCAAGGTGAGCCGGCACTTGCGGGGCCTGGAAGGGGAGGGCTGTGGCGGAGCTGGATGGGAGGGGGCGCCCGGCACTGCGGGCCTCCGAGAGGAGGTGGGCAGAGGTGTGCTGTTGCCAAGCTCCGTTTTCTGTAACGATCACCACCACGAACAAGGCCCTGAACAAATCTATGAACATCCTTGAGCCTCCGTCTTACTTGATGAAGAAGGCTGATAACTTCTGCCCTGCACTGTCCACACCCGCAGGGCTGTTCAGAGGATCACGAGATCATGTTTGTGAACTTAAATGGTAAACTAAAAAGGTCCGTGTGCATTTATTCACTGGACAAATATTTACCAAGCACCTACGTGCCTAGTGCTATTCTTGGCATTGGGATATGGCAACAAACGAGACGGAGGTTAATTATTAACCACAAGGCTAAGATTAATTATCGTCATTAATGCTATTACCAAACGTCTCCTGGGCTGGATGAAGGGAGGGGCAATGCTGGTGCCTGGAGGGCGCAGGAAAGGCTGTCTGTGGTGCAGCGTGCACCACCAGGGGACGCTGTGGAGCGTCGCCGGCTGAGCTCCGCCCCACCCCCATCTGGCCAGTGCCGGCAGGGCCCCCACCTTCTCCCTGGCGGGTCCGCACCCGTCCACAGGCCATCGGCGGATCGTGCCCCATGGCTGATATGCCACTGCTCTTTCTGTCCCCAGGGCCTGATGTGCCCAGACCACAAGGAAGAAGTGACCCACTACTGCAAGACCTGCCAACGGCTGGTCTGCCAGCTCTGCCGAGTGAGGCGCACCCACAGCGGGCACAAGATCACACCGGTGCTCAGTGCCTACCAGGCCCTCAAGGTGAGGCCACCCACCCCACCCCATTGCTGGCCCACCCACCACCCACTCACACCTCCTCCCAACTGCTGGTTCCACGGAGCCGGGCGTGATGCCCACCTCTTTCTTCCCTCTCAGGACAAGCTGACAAAGAGCCTGACATACATCCTGGGAAACCAGGACACAGTTCAGACCCAGATCTGTGAGCTGGAGGAGACTGTGAGGCACACCGAGGTGAGGGTGGGCACGGCGGTGGCCATAGGCCCTCCCTGGGCCTGGATGCAGCAAGGGGCTGTGCATGGGCCTGGCCCAGTCACCTGGCCGGAAGCTCAGGAAGGCTGTGTGGGGTTCGTGGATGTGCCAAGGTGTGGTTAAACCAGGTTGGCAGGAACATTAGGGTCCCAGGCCAGGCGGTGCCTGGAGCTACAGTGGGGACAAGGTGACTATTGCGCAAGACAGGGAGAGCTCGAAAAGCCCCAGGGACATAGCTCGCATGTCCTCGGGCTCTGCTGCCTGCTGAGGATGGCACACATCCCTGGAGCTAGGGTAAGGTGGTGGCCCTGATGCCCTCTGCCAGGTTGCCTGAATCTGCTGACGCGGGGATGGGCAACAGGATGGCACAGATGCCAGTGGACGCTCGTGCACTCACGGTCTCTGCCGTCTGAGGGGTTATGCTGCGGGCTCGGAAGGGTGGCATGAATGGTCAGGAGTGGAACCCATCTGCGTGTACAGGTGCCCTTGGAGCCACGAGCCTGGCCCTGTTGGAAGGTGGGGGTAGGATCTCCCCAGATCCTTCGTGGTCCTAGCCATAGCATGGGGCCCCAGGAGGCTGGCACAGGCGCTGCCTTCAGGAAGATAGTAAGTGTTGCTCTCTGGCCAGGTGAGTGGTCAGCAGGCCAAGGAGGAGGTGTCGCAGCTGGTGCGGGGGCTCGGGGCCGTGCTGGAGGAGAAGCGGGCGTCGCTGCTTCAGGCCATAGAGGAATGCCAGCAGGAGCGGCTGGCCCGTCTCGGCGCCCAGCTCCAGGAGCACCGGAGCCTGCTGGATGGCTCGGGGCTGGTGGGCTACGCCCAGGAGGTGCTTAAGGAGACAGACCAGCCTTGCTTCGTGCAAGCAGCCAAACAGTTACACAACAGGTACTCCCAGGAGCGGCTCCTGGGCAGGGGCTCGGGGCGGGGGCATCGTGGGTGTAGCCAACATCTAAGACAGTATCTCAGACCCCACCCGATGGAGAGCCGGGTCCCGAGGGTTTTCGCCAGGCCAGGCCGATGCCCAGTGAGCCCTAGGGGATGAGGAAGAGGCCCAGATCAGGCAGGCAGAGTCCGGGGGCGGGGAGGCTGCCCAGATGGCAGTGCCTGACCCTTGCCTGCCCCATCCCAGGATTGCCCGGGCGACAGAGGCCCTGCAGATGTTCCGGCCAGCCGCCAGCTCCTCCTTCCGCCACTGTCAGCTGGACGTGGGGCGTGAGATGAAGCTGCTGACGGAGCTGAACTTCCTGCGAGGTAAGGAGACAGCCAGGCCCCGTGCCCGATTAGAACCTTCCTCCCTTCTTCCCCAGCAGCGGGCCCGGGGGGCAGTGCCCAGCCCGGCCAGCCGCCCCTCGCACCCAGCGCACCGGCCACACTGTCCCGCCGCGCTCAGAGCTGCTTCTCCCTCTCTT